TCAGGTAAAATAGACCAAAAATACTAACTATAAAAGAAAAATTTGGAATTATACATCATCAAAATTTAGAAGTTTTCATCAAGACAGCATTAAAAGAGGAAAAAAATCAAGCCACAAGCTAGGGGGAAATATCTGCGATACATCTGACTAAGAATGTCTCTGTAGAATATATGAAGCATTTGTACACATCAATTAAAAAAAAAAGATAAATGAGAAGGGGGAAATGGACATTTGACAGAAAAGATGTAAAACAGGCTCATAATCACATGAAAAGATGTTCGATATTATCATCAGTAATTAAGAAACTGCAAGTTAACCACAACAAAATATCAATTCACACTCACTAGGAAAGGTTAAAATTTAAAAGGTTGACAATGCTAAATGTTGATGAAAATGTGGAAAAATCAGAACTCTCAAACATTGCTAGTGGAAATGCAAAGTTATAACACAACTTTGGAAGGCTACTGGTAATTCCTTTTTTTTTTTTTATTGTGGTCAAAATATATAACATAAAATTTACCATCTTAGACACAGTTAAGTATACAGCACTACAGTAATGTAAACTATAACTATAAAACATTGTTGCTTAACAGATGTAACTTATTTATCTTGCAAAACTGAAATTCTACGTCCATTAAACAACAAATCTCACCTCCCAGGCCCTGGCAATCAGCATTCTACTTTCTGGTTCTAAGAGTTAGACTACTTCACGTATCCCAAATAAGAGGAATCATGCAGTATGTGTCTTTTTGTGACAGGCTTATTTCACTCAGCACAATATCCTCAGGCTTTATCATGTTGTAGCGTATACAGTATGTCCTTTTATAAGACTTAATAATATCTATTGTATGTATATACCACATATTCTTTATGCATTCATCTGTTGATATGAATAGATACTTAAGTTACTTTCACCTCTTGGCTTCTGTGAATACCACAAGCAACATGAGTATGCAAATATCCCTTCTAGATCCTGTTTTCAATTCTTTTGGATATATTCCTAGATATGAAATTGCTGGATCATATGGCAATTCTGTTTTTAATTTTCAGAATAATCTTCAAATTTTTCTTCAAATCTAGAAGAGTGAGGTGTCCTGATTTGTCCTCCTTCTTAAGACTATTTTAGTCATTTGGTGGTCCTTTGAGTTTCCACGTACATTTTAGGATAGTTTTTTCCTATTTCTGAAAAAAAAAATCATTGGGATTTTAATAGGAATTGTACTTGTAGATCATTTTGGGTAGTATAGACACCTTCACAATATTAAGTCTTCCATCCATGAACATGGGATGTGTTTCCAACATTAATTTCTTCCAGCGATGTTTTTATAGTTTTTATTATGTAAGTCTTTTATCTCATTGGTTAATTCCCAAGTATTTTTTTCTTTTTGATGTTACTGTAAACAATTGTTTTCTTAATCTCCTTTTCAGGAAATCAATGTTTTCA